ACGTTACACATGTACACAAATGTAAACATGTATATTATATGATTGTACACAACTTGTGTTTTATGGTTGTACAAAAGTCCTCTCTTTTTGCACTGGTTGTTAGTATGCACAGGGGAAAGGAGGGAAATGTGTTATTTGACCTTAATCTTTCCATATTCCACAAAGACATTCTTTGATAAAAAAGTGACAAACTTTTGAGAGGTCAGTGCTGCAGGGAAACATTCTCTTTTTAAAATTATATTTGTTTCGCATACATAAATAAAATACACACAAATTAAATATCAAAGTTTATATATTTTGATACCTGTCCAGAGATGGATGCTCAGCCAGGGACATTGTGTAAGTTGTTAAGGAGCTGTGTATCACATGCCGTACCTACAGGTCTGACCCAGGTGTTACAGTTTCAGGAAGTTTGTTCCAGTTTGTCAGTAGGGCATCATAGTGGGGGGAAAGTAGGACAGAGGGCCCTTGAAAAGCCTGGAATTAGAAGTTTGTTTTGTTTGTCAAATTCATTTATTAATTTTTTTATTTTTTTCATGCATGTTGGCTCACTGGAAAGGCTCTGCTACACTAAATGGAACAGAACCTTAATTAGTATCATTGGTTACACCTGTGTTTACCCTACTATTTCATGTCAAAATGGCTACTGGGAAGAACGTCTATACCTGAAACTGAAGCAGCTAAATGGAATGTACTTATTGATTGATTTGATTATTTACACCTGTACTTGTACCTGGCAACCTCACCTTGGCGCTAAAGGTATTGGTAGGTGTATTTTTGAACTTTGAACATAGCGCAAGGACATGAGAGTGCCATCTATATTCTTGTCTAATGCTTGGCAAGAAAGAAAGTATGCATATTTTCCGAGATGTAGAAGTTTAACTGGTTATGCAGATGTCACAATTTTAAAGATTTTAACTAAATCCCAATTCTTGTTTGATGGTAATGAATACATTTTCCATTTATGTAAAGGTCTGCATGGACTGTACACGCGTACAAAATGCGTCAAATGAGCATGTGCTATAAAAGTAAAGTGGACGCTTGTTTTTGAAGAGAGGCTGTGAGAGGAGGTCCGTTGTTATAGTGCATCTTTAAGGGAGTACAGAGACACACAAAATACTTTGTTGTTCAGCCAACAACAAGCAAAGGAGCTCTTCTTCTTGCTGTTGTGACGTCACTAACTTGTTTTGTAGTGCCACGGATTGTAGTATGTATTGGAGCGATGGTGTGTTTGCTGTCCACATGCAAGTCAGCAGCTATCCATGTCCTATATTAAGTATGACCAAACCATAAGCCTCGCCGTTGCTGTCTGACATTAATACATTTTGCATCAGAGGTGTCCAATTACCAGAAATTAATGGACCCCTGCCAGCCAATTAGAATGGAGAATTCTCAGCAGTGATGATTTAAAAATGACAAAATGAACAGAAGCCAATACACACATATCCATCACAGTCGAGTCATTCACTATACAGGCAGAGTAAGTGAAGTAGAAACAGGCAGAAACAAAATGCTCTTGACAGTGTGATTGGCAGAACTGAAAGCAAACCAGAACAGCCAACAGACGGCTGACCGCAAACTCAGCAAGAGGAATGAGAGAGAAAGTAGGAAGTAAACTCCAAACAAATCACATTGTAGCTCACCGGTTGTGACTATGTGTTTAAACAGATATTCTGCTGAAATCCAAGTCTGCATTTTTCTCATTAGCACAACAACGTTGGCGTCCTTTGCACCCAGTTTGCTTCAGTGAGTACAAATGAGATGTTAGCAGAGGAGAGACAGACCGAGACAGGAAAAGTGCGAGCAAATAAAGACCAAAAGACAGCGAGAGCTTTGGGCAAGCTGATAGAGGAAATCAGTGGAGAGCCGAAGCTAGATGGTATTCTCCCAGTGTTGTGCAGTGGCCCATAACCACACTGATATGAGGAACAAATGAACAACACTGAGTTAATGCTCTCCTTGTGTTTTGTGTGTGTCTATATGTGTTTGTGTGTGTTAAATAGTAGAAAGGACACCCAATCTCATATTCAGTCATCTCAGATTTTGATAATTATGTGAAAAAGGAATAAGCAAGTGAGGAGAGTGTCAGTGAGGATTAACAAACTAGACTGTCTGTGTGTGTGTGTGTGTGTGTGTGTGTGTGTGTGTGTGTGTGTGTGTGTGTGTGTGTGTGTGTGTGATGTTGGATTAATACCATTAAGGCCATGAAGCATCTACAGAGACCCTAAATAGACACAGTGACACACTAACACATTCTATTTTCCAGGAGGCTGACTTGCAATATATATTCATGAACCCAAAATGCAACGTGGATTCTGCTTAATAACGTCTTGAGGGAAAGGCTGAGTAATATGTGTCTAAAGAGTGCACAGTCAGATTAAGAGAGTGATTGGCAATGAATGCTTAACAGTATCCTACTTGACGGCTGAAATATCTCATCAGAGGTGCCACAGCTCTCAACTCTCCTCTTCAAGATGACGATAGGTTGTTGCGTTCATCAGCTGACCTTGGTGATCTCGAGAATGAATGCAGTTTGGGCTTTTGCTGTATTTGCTCTGCAATTCAAAACATAGTCCTTGAGCTGATATAGACAAATTAATCAATTCAGCAAGTGTGGCTTTCAGAAACCAAAGCACTGAATGCAGCTAGTTTTATTTCTAAAGCTTGGAAAATTACTCAAACTAAATGTTTTGTTTGACTGCTGATTCCTGACATTTACTGTGTGCAGGATCTTTTTGCCAATATTTTAGAGGCTTGAAAAGCTTTTAAAACAAAATATTGACACTAAAATATCTAATACCGATAAACTACACTGACAAAATCTAATTTCTGATTTTAAAAAAGGTCATCAAGCCAACCCTTATTCATGCTTGTTTATAGACATGTACAGAAGACAAAGTGAAAGCAATGTGGTTTTACTTGAGGTCGTATGTACTTTCATTAGTTCTTTTTTATTTCTCAAAATTTAAAGGATAAGTTTGTCAGTATTCTATATTTTTATCCCAAAGAATATCCCATGAAAAGCCAAACAAAAATGAATTTGTCCTTGTAACAAGTATTTCCTGTAGAGCTAAAACCTGATATATCTTATTCCTCTGTGCCATTGTTGTCCTGAAACTATTAACTAGTTCTTGAATACACCGCTCTGCTGTAAATACTGAAGGGCATATGGCATAAAGGCATATGAATCTACAGGTGAATATAGTCCACAGCAAATTACTCTCTATTCCTGTTTGACCAACTCCAGTCACCTGCTGTTTGTGAAAAATTACTTTACTTAAAAAAGAAATTCAACCAGGTATTTGTGACCCATTTAAAAAAAAAAACAAAAAAAAAAAAACAAGGTATATGCCACTTATATGATAAGGAAATAGGAAGTTGAAATTGCAAAGTATAAAGAGAAGCATTGTTGATTTTAGACTTTTTGTTAGATTTGTTGACAGTAATAAAGAATAACCTCATCCTTTATGCAGGATCTGTTGATGACACCTGGAATTATTACACTTATTAGTCATTTATTATTCATCATTCAATTAGTCATTTATTGTTATTTTATCCTAGTTATATTATAGTACTATATAGTTAATAGTATATACTTTATTTTATTTAATATTGCTATTGTGTTCTCCCCATATCGTAACTACTATTGAATGTCTGATCCTGGAAGTTTCTCTCTTCTTTCCCCATTAAACAGGTTTTGTTTGTTTTGAAATGAATCCTTGTACTAAGTATCTAGGATCAACTGTGTCATATATTTTTCAAATTGCCTTCACTTGACTTTGGGTAGGCTCAAAAGCATGCTATCATCATAGCTAGATGCCATAAAATAAAAGATGAGTGTCCACAGCCATGCTAAAAGGTCTCTGACAGTGCATCAGCATGCTAACATGCTCCCAATGATAATGTTGATGTTTAGCAGGTATAATGTTTACTATCAAGGCAACCCATCCAATAGTTGTATATATCAACCTGTTGGCATCACTACAGGAAAAGTCAGGGGGTCAAAAAAATATTGGTGGCGCTAGATGTCAACTTCTTATGACAGTCAATCTAAAACTCAAGATTTTTCAGTTTGGACTAAAGTGGTGGACCAATATTGCCTAGAGCCATGCCACTAGCATGGGTAACAAGGTTTCTTGATGCCAGCCAGTTATGGATGAGGTAAAAGCAACAACAGAAAAAGAAGCGGAGTAACATTTTCTTCTTTTTTTTTGTTGGTATACCCCGGTATGGCCCTTTACCAAATAAAATAAACAATGTTTAAATAGTTGACATGCATTTCTTTCTTCCCAGCTACTTAAAGCTGTGATACCTGATGCTCTGACTCTTTTCTCATAGCGACCAAACATGCTGTTACCAACGAAAATGTATCCTGAAATAAAACACTAGAGAACAACTAACAAAAACACTCTCATACACTTTTTTCTGTTGATCTTCCATCTATATATCTTACTATAGATTGGGGGGGGGGGATGTTCCTTGTGTAAACTGTTGTGTAAAAATGTTAGAAATATGTGTATGCTGTATATGTGCGTGCCCATGTGTATGATAACTCCAGTAAGTATTGCTTTGCTCTGAGTGTGTGAGGTGAGGGGGTTAAAGAAGCCACTGAAGTGCTATGAGTTGTATTGATCGGAAGTTCCCCAGTGCATTGATTATAAGCCCTATGAAACTAGACAAGCAGAGGATTTAAAGCTCGACTGCAGAGTGCTATTGACGGGAGGAATACTACCATTCTATTTCTGCTCAGCGTTTGAAAGTCTGTTTTGTAAATGTTAGTTCTTATTGTCTATGCTGAGACAGTGCCAATATGGTACACATGCCATTTCAGCAGAGAAGTGACACAGGACATCTGGGACTTCGTCCAAGTTGAACCAGACTTGAGACAGAATGTGGATTATTAGTTTTAAAGTTTTTTTGGTCGTACTGAATATTATAACAACCCATGTGTATTATGTTGGTGCTGCATGTTTCTAAAGGTGTGTGTGTTCTCTCTACAGAGCTCCATGTATTCATTGGCCCTGAAGTGTCTGATCAGTCTGTCTACAGTCATCCTGCTGGGCCTCATCATAGCCTACCATGCACGGGAAGTTCAGGTAAATCACATGTACATACATCCACGTGCCTATACATCCTGTTGATCTGAGAGGTGATTAGCTTTGCTTAGTAACAGACAGGAAGCAGGTGGAATCCGGCACCTGTAAAGCTCACTAATTAACACGCCCATATCTTTGTTTTCGTTAATCTGTACAAAAGGTTATAGTAGGTTATATTATAGGGGTGTAAAGATACACACAATTCACGGTTCGGTATGTACCTCAGTTTTGAGGTCACAGTTCGATGCATTTTTGGTATAGCGGGGAAAATGAAAAGAAGAAAAGAAAAGAGAAAATTACATTTTTGTCATTTATTTTTAAATAGGTAAACATTCAACAGTGACTCATTGGCCATCATTTTTACTGTTAAGGCGCTCAAATATTGGCGTCAATAAGAAAAAATAATTAACAAAAAAATAACAAATGTCAGTAATGCTGCATCATAAGAACAGGTGCAGCTTGTGCTTGTTTATACAGGCACAAGTAACTGACTAAAATACACACATGAAGGGACATCGTAGAGGGACTCTAGCGCTTTGACCATATGCATAGATCCTGTACTCTCTACAAGTAGTATGTACATCACATATCTGCAGCTATAAACACTATATAGCATTAGTTATTGCTTAAGCACAATCCCAATCTTTAGTAAAAGGCTGCTTGAACGCTGTGCGGTGAAGGATTTGCCTTCCAGTCTGTTTTTGTCGACAATTACACATTACAGTGTTTCCGCACACATACAGTTCAGTTGAACAGTGTCTGCATACTAATCGTTGCTTATTCCTTCATTTCGCTGTAACTAACCGGGAAACCGTAATGCTTCCATACAGTGGAGCAGCAACACTGCATGAGCTTGACTAACCTGGCTAAGCTGACTAGCATGTTACTGCTGCTAGAACTTTGCCGGTAGACATAAATAGACTATTCTGACAGTACTTGTTGCAGTCGCATACCAAACTGAACCTCCTGTACAAACGGTTCGGGATGAATAAACATACCCTGCTAGTATAGTTAAACGGTCAAAACAACAATTTGTGGTTTTACAAATGGTTACGTGCAGTCTATGTCGGGAGGTTTGTTTTGTGGTGGCAATTTGTTAAATTAAGCATACAAAGTATGATCTTGTCTTTCTATAAGGCTTTATTCAAGTCATCCATGAATGGACTCAATGCAACCGTCACACACTCCTGTATGTGAAAGCCAAGATTCGAAGAAGCAGTATAGTTTTATCCCTGTTGGAGTACAACAGTTACACATCCCTGAGTTCTGGGGCAGTAAACAGACAGATAATGTGGTGCAATGATAATGTCCTTGGCTTCTTAGTGAAGTCTTTACATCCTGCTGTTTACTTGGACATAGAGTGTAGTTAGAAACAGGGCTTAAGGTTATATGCATATAATACAGAAATGTATTATAAATGTGTTCTCATCTAACTCTTGGCAAGAAAGGGTTTTTCCTAAAATAGCGACTGTTCCTCGCTAGGAGTGGTTTTCTTTAAATGTAAACAGAGGCATTTCTGAGCTCTGTCTATAGTGTACACATTATGTTTGTCCTCCCTCAGGCTTCTGAGATAGACCCAGGGACCCAGGTGTGTGTCGGCTCCAGCCAATTAATGACATTAATGAGAGTCGTTGTGGGATCGACGAAATAGTCTGCATGGCTTTGCATCGAGTAGATACACACCGAATGTTAAATACACACTCAGCCAATAACAATCCAATACACAGAGAACACACATAAACATACAAACACACACCCACGCAAGGCAAACAAACACACATAGCCTCACCCTCTTTGCGAGGCTGAAACAATCAATCAGAAATGCTTTCATGCTTCATGATATCTGTTTTGCTGTTTGTCATTTCACTAATATAATGGTACCACGGTCATTTAGCCGGGGTTTTCATCTGAAGCCATTTGCAATCGATGCACATTGACTATTTATGGGAGTCTTGTGGGAATCAGACCCAATGAGTGCCCCCACACCAGCTATTACTCCCACCAGCTAAACCACGGAGCAACACTCATCCATCTAACCACATATTAGTTTAATGCTGGGAGTTTTTTGTTTTTTTTTCTTTCATCACATCACAGCTTGGATGCCGTTGAAAATGTCTATTAAAGTTCCAGCAGGTCTGTGATGGAGATTCTTATGCATTCTGGTCTGAGGTTCAGGCTCTCCATCTGTGGATCAATAACTAGACGCCCGTTGCTTATTCACTGTCATACACAGGCACTGATAGACTGGTAATCAGTCTGTAATAGGCAGCTGCTGTGTATTAATGAGAAAGGAGCCGACTCAATGTATGCACATGAGGTGCACGTGAGTGTGTGTGTTTGCGTATATGGTTAAGCATTCATTGATAAGAGAACTCTCGTTTCTGCTCGCAAGTTTGATGTCACATTCACAGAAGGAGTCACTCATCCTCCCACGCACACTGTGGCTGCCGCACGTGACAGGCACACTAATACCGCTACTGTAAGGCCGACAGAGAGAGAGAGAGAGAGAGAGAGAGAGAGAGAGAGAGAGAGAGAGAGATAAAATGGTCTTCTGTTAATCTCTTTGAGAAATCATTCCTTTTGATTAAATGAAGAGTTTGGGGAGGGTGCTTGTACGGGTGGGAATCGCAGCAGGTGGGAGAGGTGATGTCGGGATTTAATCCCAAATCACTTTTGATAATAACTTGAGTGAGGATGGTGATAATTTCTAAGCACTTCTACCCCACAGCAGATGACAGCTTTAAAGGATAATCCTGGTTTATTACGACTTCAATATATTTTTTTTTGTTTTGGCTGTTATTGCTATTGGTTATTATAACATGCTGAAAATCTAGGAACACAGTGACATTGCAGTCAGATAATCAGACAGGTTGCAGACAAGCCAACAGTTCAGCCAGTTCAGTATCTAACCAGCTTTATTCGGAAGGGAAAACCTAAAGATGGAGCACACCTGAAATGCTGCTCATTGCATTGAGAAAACTGTGTGCACACATTTGTTTGGTCTGGTCTAAGGAATAGGATTTTAATTTTGCAATTGCCGCAAATAAATATGGCTAATATGGGTTGTTTATTTGCTGGTAAGTTTGTTTAGAACTAAAACTGATGGGCTGACCATTCATGATTTGTTCCCTTTGGATTCCTTTTTAGCAATGTTTCTGCGTTCCCACAATTAGGCAATTAACTTAACAATGCTATGACTACCAATAGGAATGATGGTCAAAATTACAAAAATAAAGTAAACTGGAAGGATCTTTTAAATTACTACTGTATAAAAAGTGAATGTTTCTTAAACCAGTAGAAACAAGTTCTAAATCTTTAAGTTATGGCAAACCTGTTAGCAAACAATTGCTTATTTACACATCCAGCCATTAATGAGCAATATAAGCATTTATTTGGTGTCATGTTTATGGTCAGCTGTAGAATGTAGTCCAATATTCACTCTCCTTCTAGCTCTGTTTTGTTCTCCTACTAACTTTGTCTGTCTGCTGTTTGGTGTTGAGAAAGTAGCATGCAGTCGTTTTTTAGAGCTTTTCCGCTGCCTGTTGTGGTTGGGAATAAAAAAAACCCTGATGAGATGAGACTGAACAAAAACAGTAAAGTTGCAGTCTGGAAATCCAAAACAATGAGCTGAAAGTATATCCCCACTTTTATATACAAAATATCGATTATAGCGGCTTTTGGAAAATAGTTCCACATATTGAGAATTGCGATTATTTGTTCTCTTTCCGAGAATGAGTTCAATATCTTTCTTCAATGCCTGAATGGAGCCAGAGTCAAGATGTGTTTAACCTAGCTTATTACTAACTGTGAAGACCCACTAAACCCCGCGCAGGGTAACACAAAGTTTGCCTCCACTCATTGTCTATGGGACGTGAACAACGTGAAGCATTGTGGAATTCCAGGCAATGCAGGACTGACCGGGGACATGAAAAACACGAGGGGTCGGCAGTTGAAGAACTGTAACTTTAACTAAAGACAGGATGTCTTATGTATTGTAGTTTCTGGAATCCGTCTTTTGTGTGTCCCTTACCTCCAAGGTTACTGAAAATGAAGGGCTGCTCGGCACAAAGTCCTGTGAGAACATCAAAGGATGCTTATTTACATAATGTTTGCTATCTAGCAAGCTACTTGCTACTGTAGCTCGTGAGCGCTGACATTCCCATGGCAACGAATGAGAAGAGGCGGTGTTGTGCGACTTTTCTTTTTAACTGCCAGTGCATCTTCATCATTAGACTGGAGGCAGCAGCGAACAGCTAGCCTGCCTCTGTCCAAATTCCAAATTCTACCAACTCACAACTCTCCAGCTGACTAATTAACACATTGTATCATGTTTGTTTTAATTCTACACAAACAAACATGGAAAAACAACAATTGTAGCAGGAGTTACATCCTAAACAGCTGAGTGCAGTGACAATGTACAGCTTCCCAGAGTGCGCAGTGTTTCATATATGTAGGCTACACCTGAAACCATATATATGTCATCACATGCATGTTAATTTTATTATCTAATACCTGCCTACTGTCACCGGGCCAGGTTTGTTTACATACATGAGCAGCATAAGAAGTGGCAGTTTGCCTCTGGTTTTTATTGTTGGATGGTTCAAACATGAGAAATAATGCTGTGTGAAATGAAAGGCATTGTTCAATAAAGATCTAATTCCCAGATTACGACACACTCTGCCGCAGCATTTTGCCCAGCATGTAACAGGATATTACGTGCACATACTCACACACAGCACACACATATACAGTATATGCATTTGCACAGAAAGGTTGTGGTGGCTAGAGATCAGCACGATGTTATCGGGTTTAGCTGGCATTTATACCACATTTCTCTTTCTCTTTCACACTGATCTCTATTTCTCTCTCCCTCCTCATGTCTTTTATCTCACAGTACTTTTTGTTTACCACCATCAGTGTGCTTCTCTTTTTCTTTCTCTTTTCTTTCTTTCTTCTCCTGCTTATCAGATTAAATCTGTCTCCCTTCTCCTCCACTGGGC